CAACCCCCCCTTAGTATATATATTTAAAAAAAAATATGATTTGATAAATATAATCGATGCGGTTGACTACAAAAATTAATCTACAAATAGATTCAACTATAAAATATTTCTAGAAATAAGATTAAAACAGAAAACAAAAAAAAAATTGTTTACAGAGAATACCAAGACTTTAAACATGATGATGATCGAAAATTATCTATTGATTCTTCTGTATTTTTTTTTATTATTCGTAGTTTATTGCGAGTACAAAGAGATTGGATTTGATTATTGTTTCTGTAGCGATATATATACGTTTTTATATGGAACTAGATATAGAACAAAGCTGTATTTAATGTAGAATTGAATATTTTTGTATATAATACATTAAAATTTCGATATAACAGGGGTAGAAGAGTATTTTTAAACCGAATTTTTCTTTACAAAATATTTTAGAAACTAATTCCTTACGCTTAAGTATGCTAGGCCCTACGATTAAATTGATATATATATATATATATATATAAATATACATANCTATGTACATTTATAAAACTAAATAAAATAGCCCCTCGAATAATTTAGATATAGAATCATTGTTAAAGTAAGGAATAAAATAAATTGCCATTCAATTGACGTTCCAGAATCGTATTTAAATTCAAACGTTTGTCCTAAAAAAAAAAAAAATAGGATAATTTTAAGAAAAACAATATTTCAATATCATATTTTCTTTAAAATACCATTAACATTCAATTTTAATTTATTTACCAAGTAAAAAACATTTTCTATCAGTTAGTAATGGACGTAATTGTTTACTTAAGAGTTCAGACATTTCTAGAACAGGTAAACTGTAAAAAAAATAAGGTGTTTTATATTATGATAGACCTATGAAAGAAAAAGTAATGTTTACCAGGGATAGAAAGAATTAACAAATTAATTTGCAAACTCAAATTCATTTATTAGTCATATATTTGAAATGAGTTTTTTTCTTTTTTCTCCTGTTTTTTTACGTGGTTCTTTCAAGATAATCCTCCTTTAAAATGGTGAAGATGCGCCAATGAGTTAATTTTTAGCTTCGAAGTGAAATAATAAGAACCTTCATAGGGAGACTGCTTAACCTTTATATACCGAGTAAAGCAAACAAACTTTATAATCTAATCATAAGTATCGATGCCTTCATCCAATAGCTATTAAACTGAATATACAATAGGGAAATGATTTTCTTTGTTACGTAAGTTTTCTAAGATGAAGTTGAATCCACAGAGAAAGGAGAAATCTGAGTGTTTGCTTTGATATAGGTCTAGTCATCTTGTTTTCAATAACCCGTTCTTTGAGAGTAACTTTTTCAAGATAATACACTTTTTAATGGGTATAAGTTTACAGTTTATAATCTAATATATAGTATGTGTACAGTACATGTTATTAAAAGAATGAAACAAATCATTCTATTCTATTACTTAAAAAAAAACTAATATTTCATTAAAAAGTATTCCTAATTTTAAATCGTTGTCCATTATTATTATTATTACTTTTTCTTGTCATTTAAAAAAATATATTCNGAAAGGAAATTATTATTATTATTAATATTATTCCTATTTGAATAATAAGAGAAACATTGTTTTAACGATAGTTTAATCATACGTTAAAAAAATCTGTTATATGTAATGATATCTTTGTCAAAAATCTAAGTGTTCTCGAGTTAAATCTTAAGGGGTAACTAACCCGGAAAAAAATCGTATTCGCTTGCGTCATTTCCGCTAGTTTGAAATAGTCTGGATATTGATTGCGTGATATATTGCGTGGGACTCGAACCCTGATTGTTCTCTCCCAATTCATGTCACGTTGGTTCGTTCTTTTCGTCCTCAGCAAACTTGAAAGGATCTTCCGATTATAAATGAATTCTAGGAAGTTTCTAAGTAGTACTTTTTAGCCTCGAAGTATGGAAACTGGTTTAAGTCGAATAAAAAAAAAAAAATTGGGAGAAAACACTTAAAAACCAGTCCTACCCTCAAGTGAAGATACGGGCAACACAGTAAGTTGCAATTACACCAGACGATTACACAGCTCCATCAATAGTAAGGTATAAACCACCCCCTGCCTAGAAAGGAATTCAACCTTCTCTGCGTGTAGGATGATAAAATATGCTGGTGGGCCATGAGACCCGCCCTTGTCTTTGTGGCCTGTATTTCATTATTTAACACTTCTGACTCGAAATCGTTGTGCGAAAGTATAAAAATACTCAAGTTCCGTAATTCGTTTATTTAAAAGTGTTTAAATTAGTCGAGTGGTTCTTTTTTTTTTTTTTTTTTTTAAAAAGTGTCGATCGATTAATTATTTATTTTAATCACATGCTAATTAAGACGATACTTTCGGAGGTTTTACCGGATGACAAATGGCGATGGCACTTTCTATTAAAGCGGACGGATTGACTATAGTGTTCGGTTACTTACTAGGTGACAACACTTCATCCGTATGCTAGAAACGTTTAGCCTCCCAGCTATCTCCGTGATGGGAGGGTTAGTAGGCCTGGCCCTATAAATAACCAATATCGACACATCCCATCTGACAGGCAGTGGACAGCAGAGTGTGGTAATGGTTATTGGTATGATAGAGCATAGCACATGAGCACGTGCAAGAACTTGTTTGTTGGCCATCTTACATGGTGGCCTTCCCGTAAGGTTGTTTTGCCACTTTCACAGCTGCAGACTTTCTAACCGAAAGTTTTTTCGTTTGGGTAAATATGAAAACTCGATCGAATATTTTATTTCTAAGTTGTTAACTAATGACTTTTATTTCTACTGTGACAAATGTATCAGGGAGAGAAAAAAAAATCCTATAAATTTTACAAGAAACAGTTCTTCGAAATTGTTATGTTACGCTAACTTGCACCGCCAATGAAGTGGACAATTGGTTGGTCGAAACTCTTGAGTTGGGACAAAGCTCTCGAAGTTGTCGGACAGCAGGAGGGATGAAAATACTCTCGCTTGTCCGCAGGGTAGCTCCGTCCTTGTGTTAACTACTTCAATGGAATTTCTCTCTTTCCTTTATCTCAAGACAGCAGACAAGATAACAAACTAATTAAGCATTTTTTTCTCCTCTCTTAGCCAACTTAGTTCAGCTACAGGTAATTAGAACATAGGCCTCTATCATTGAGTATCGTGCATTGAAAGTTGATCATGTTTAAGTTTAAGGGTGCGGTACTTAACCCACCTATTTTGATGACTGTGAATTTATTACGAAACTCATTACAACGACTTTGTAAACAGTTACAGTTGTCTGCACGAAGTAGTAGACCATAAACAAAACCTAAAAACCTTTAAATGCTTAATATAGGCGTTACCGATTTAGTTTTGACAGCGCTAAGTGGCTGAGCAATCTAGTTAAATGCCTAAGATGGACACAGAGAGAGAGAGAGAGAGAGAGAGAGAGAGAAAGAAAACGATCGAATGAAGATAATAATTCTACAGTAGGCCTACAGGCCCACTTTAAATCATTATCTTTTCTACTAACGTATCCTTAAACATTTTTATAATTTTTACTCTTTATCAATTGAATTTTTAATTTGTTATTTTCGTATATCGGTTTATCTATTCTCATTTTGCAGTTCATTTTTCAACGTCGTCCTTGGATAGTTGTTACCTGTCTGTTGAACTTGTCATCAAGAACGCTCAATTATAGTCTGTAACTATGTTGTTCACTTGGGCTTCTCTTGATCTGTATTAATTGAGCAGGACGGATAATCTTGAGTTGAATGATTGCTTTTTTACCACAAAAAAAACGAGTCAATCGAGTTTAATGCGAATATTTGAATCTAACCATTTAAAAAAATATCCATCTCGGGGGCTAAAATACCCGATTTCAAATGAGATTTCACTCGCATCTGGTTACATTATTCAAATATTTGAAAACAAACACGTAAACTACACCTTCGAATTTGTTATACCACAGGAAAATTGATAACGTGACTCGTGGCTCGACCTCAAAAAAAAGCAATAATTAATTATTATATTTAGTCTAATATATAAATATATAACACTATATATATAACCAATTATCTGTTTATTAATAATATATCGAATAAGCTATCGTGAAAAGTGAATACAGCATGCAAACAAGCACTCCTTAAATATTCATATAGAAATAAATTTAATTAAGATCACGTATGTAGGATTGCATGCAGAGTTTGTCACTCATAAATTTCATTCCTATTTAGAAACTAATTAGAAGAATTAGTAAGAGTTCATTCAACAAACAAGAGATAATAATTATATTTTTAATTAATAAAAAGAATAGAAGAAATTTTAGTAAAATAATTCACTCTCGAGAGAGAGAAAGAGAGAGTTATCAAATCGCCCTTACTGAGAGAGAGAGAAAAAAAAAGATGCGTTTAGTGATACTTTTCTGTTTTTTTGTTGTGTCGTAGAGGCAGCATTGGCTGTTAGGTATCTTTAATTAACACCTTACTGACCTGACAGAATTAGATGGTGTTGCTGTGTAGATAGGTACCACAGTTTTTGTGGACAGTGTGTTGTTTACTCGAGACAAACAGTTTGAACAAATGCCGTAAAAGAAATGGCAAAGTTGAGATATTTGTTGTCTCTTTTTTTTTTACAAGGTGTTTTTTTTTTAAAAAGAAACTCGAACATCTGTCCTTGAATCATATTTTTATTTGAGGAATGTTCAGATCCGAAAACAAATTGTACTTAAAGGTAAAGAAGTAAAGAAAAGCTATAATAATACCAATCAATTTATTTTAGATAAATGTTAACAATTTAATTATAATTAATTAAAAAGTGATTATAATTAATGAATGCGTAAATTTACATAATTATGAATATTTTGGTCCATTCTCTCTCTCTCTCTCTTTCTTTTAATATGATGGAAAAAAGTGCGTTAAATGTTAGTAATTTTGATATAAGTGGACATTGGAGAAACATTTAATTTAATTTTACAAAAATAAAGCAGATATTTATTGAAGCATTATATAAATACAATTGAAGGTAATGCGTATGTTGTTTTTCCAGATGCGTTAATGAATATGAGATTCCGAAAGAAGGTGATCGATGGAGAAGCCTTCGCCTTTACTGTATCATGTAATAAATTTATTGCTGTTAAGAAAAATAAAGTATGTATTTATTTAATGAACTTTTGTAACATTTATTTTTATATAATTAAGTGTCGTTCGGTACTTTTAAAGTAATCCTAATATACAATTCACTTTTCTACGGTCGAGTTTAGTAGACGTTGGGAATATCTATAAGAAAAAATTGCAATATTTCTTATGTCATTTCTTCTAAATTCATCTTTAACAAACAAGGTGGCATGACGTTTAGTCCAATCGTTTAATCACAGCACTGCGCCTACCTCATAACCCACAATTACATCGCCAAGCTAAAGAAAATTATCCAATTGCATGCCGGAGAAACTTTTTAATTGTTATATATTCCCGCCATGGTTTCCCCTTATCTATCCCCATAAGATACTACAAGGGACAGAGCATAGCAATTAAACCTTAGAATTCCCAAGAATCGGGACCTACAGAGGAACTAGGAAAAATGACAAACGTCTGACTGCTATAATTATACTGACTACACCGTGTCTGGCTATATGATAATGATGATAGGTATCAGAAGCTACAGATGAGAATCTGCGACCACGACTAGCCTAATAGCAAAGCTGACATTTCTACTTTTTTAATGCTACTTTTCTGACAATTTTTTTTTTTTTTTACTTTCGATTAACTCTTAATGACTTTTTACTGCTAACTCTTATTGAATATCATATACTAATAACGGTTTTGACCTCACGAAATACTCTGACGTCACCGGCACGCGTCTCATTTGCATAAAATTTGTCAATCATTGGTAATGTAGTTTTTATTTTATTTTTTTATTTCTCGTATGAAGAGAAAACAGTTTTATCATTATCACTACTTGGAAGTTGGCCAGGATGGTTTTCCTTTGTGTACATCACTTTTTCTACGATAGTAGAAAGTAAGTCGAATCCAAATGTCCTACATTAATCCTTCAAAATGTACGAATTATGGGTTGTTTTTCTCGAATGTGCACACATTTCTTCTTATTCGTATGAGATATCGTTTTGCCCTTACTGGCATATCTTCGTTTTTGTCCACTCCATACTCATAATCTGCTATTCACTATCCATTGAGTAACATTTTATAACGATCCATATGTGACATCTGTAATAGTCCAACACTTCATAATACAACAACCATTTAAAAAAATAATAATAAAATTAAAATTTTTCTAAATAAATATAAATTTAATTAACATAATAATAATAAATTATGAAATTAATTTTCTTTTTATGTAGTCGACCATAAATTACGGTTACCCCTTTTTAAAAAAAAAACTTCAAGGATTAAACAGATATGATTCATTAATCGTTTATGCTTTAGTACAGATTTTTCATGGCAATTTTAGGTGGCCGTCACTTACGAGGGTAGTTAAAGATGTCCCAAATTCGGCATTTCAAATGGTTCCTCGAACACCTTGAGGGAGACAGAACAGTATAATTACAAACTAAGATAGTCTTTGCATCTACTGATTTGGCGGACGACATTGCTTTATAAAAGAAAACTCGGTGTTCTTAGGAATCGTCCAAGCTGAACTTCCACTGTCATTTGTCATGGTTATTTGCCCTCATTAACTGCTCAAATAGCTGCAGTAAGAAAGAGAATGACTATAATTTTAGGTCTACAACTGGTTAGCTTGTGCACTCTTTGTCTGCTTCATAACTCCATATGACAATCAACACATACGTAATGCAATACATAAAACATATATTAGAAAAATAATAAAAGTAAATTTTACTCATTGGACTGTCGTACGAGACAATATTCGTTTAATTGATTTAGGAAATTCAAATTTTCTGACGTTATGCTCATAGGGAACCATCTTATCCCTGAGTAACGAGGAAGAAATAATGAGATACGTAACCTCCCGTTGATTATTTAAGGTAATATTTGAGAGAAATGTCTAACGTTTTAAATGACGGACATTTTTATTTTTTTATTTTTGAATAATCTTACATCAGGACAGATGTAAAAGTATCGAGATACCTGCAAAAGTTTTAGAGATAAAAACTTTAAAAATAACTATAAATATATAGCTCAGGTAGCAATGAGTTTAGATAAAAGATGATTTGATATAAAAAAGGTTCTATTTTATAACCACATTACTGATAAAGTTACAGGTAAATTGAAGATATTTAAGAAAGTAAAAATGACTTTTTACAATTCCCTATTCCTACCCCCGGATGTCGTCTTGATGAAATACTGCTATTTAAATCGACTTTTGATGATTCCATGTTTCTCCCAATGATCAATGATGTCTGGATGTATCATTGATCCATCCTTACACTCCAGCCATTATCTGAAATGATACGAGTATCGACAGGAAACTGTGAATGACTAATGATTTTTTTTCCGACTTTGTAAAACTCCCGAGATATCTTTACTAACCAAAATACAGCACTAGGAAAATTTTCTTACAAAATATCTGTTCAAATATATTGTCAACAGGTTTATGGATATCTGGCTTTAAAACTATATCGCCACATCTACATTGCGATTGATCGAAGATATTCTCTTCGCACGATAACAGATTCAGTTGTCATCACAATACTGACAAGCATATTCCCATGGGAACATTTATGATACAATCGAGTTACTAAAATATTCAGAAAATTTTCGACACGTCCTTTCATCGAAAGGTCAAGAAAATTTTCTAACTTTTCTATCCAAAATTATTTTATTTTATTCCCGTTTTTACCACCGAAATCTCTTTAAATACCTCCAAACCAATCAAAAACACAGTTAAAACGTCTGCAGCAACATAACATCTGCAACAATTGTTGACTTTGTTCTTTTACAAACTCGAGTCTCGACCTTGTCATTGTCGCAAGAGTTGTGTTAATTATGTATAATTAGTCTCATTAGCTTTATTTTCAAGCTATTCAAAAATAATAATTACCGAGTTCTCACTAATTAGCTACTAATTAACAGTCATTAAGAGATTCTTTGTATGCAAAGAGATGAAATCAAGCATAAATTAACTTTATATTGTCTGTACTTTCGCTGCTTAACATTTTTCAAATTAATGGAAAATTCACGAGCTCTCCCTATAATTTCAAATGTTTTTTTTTTCCTGCAAATTATAACCTTTTAATGTAGACTTAATCATACTTTTAGAAAGAGTTTATCTTTTGTGGCTCGTTATTTTCCAAACGTTAACGTCTCTTTCTTCTGTATCTAAGCTATAAAGAAAAGTAGGCTACCATGTGATTTTTCACTATTAAATTTAGTTGCCATATTTATCTCCTTTCGGTCCGGTCCACGTCATAGATTTAAACATCACGATCGGCATCATCAAAATGGTTTTTATATATATATACAATTCGTTTTTTTTTCTTTCCTTCTTTCCTTCTTTATAGAGGAAGGGAGCATAGAATAGAGAATCCAAGGAAACGGTTGTATCCAGTGCACGTGCCAGAACGGTTTCATCCGTCATTAATCCAGGCTTGCGTGTTGTCTCCAATCCTTTTGTTGCGTGTTTTGCTCTGGGATTAAAAGAATGAGGGAAATTTCGCGTGTTTAAAGAACTCGGACTAATGTGAGGGAGTGTAACAGTCGATGCACGGACGGAGATGATCGTTAATTCTGTTTTCTTGTTTTAATTGAACCTCTTGTAATGTGAGCAGCAGGCCTAGGTCAGAAAAGGGCTCCGGCAGCTGTTTGGTCACATGGTATCGTGACGTTTATTCTATAAATGTGTACTTCATGTTGATTGGGAGAAGATGTTTTGATTGAATAACAAATGCTATCATTAAAAAGCTGTTTTTTATTTTTTATTTTGTATAAAAACATTTGATTTTATTTTCGTATGAGAATTTGAACGATTACAATTTTATACAGTCAGAAAACCAACTCGGAAGAGATAAATTTCTAGAAGAGTAATTTTTCATTTTTTTTTCCCTTGTTACGAGAAGTATTAATACATTCGAGACTTCGTTGGTAAAGGCACGAATAATGGAGAAGAATGAGAGTAAAATTCAGTTCAAATCTTTTTCAATAGGTTGTGATTTTTATATAATTCATTCGCTGAAAATAATAAATAAATAAATAAATAAAATACACAGGAAAAACTCTACGAAATCTAAAAAAAGATAGCTTAAGTTAATATTAATCTTATGCAGTTTTAAATCTTAAAAAAAAATAGGGTACATAATAGCAAAATTAACAATTATTTTAAGCGCTTACCTTTTTAAAATAGTCTTGTTTGTGCTAAACGAGGTTGGAGAAGTATTTGCGTGTGTTTTCTTTAATACTGCTCTTAAAAGGTTTTCTCCTTTCCTAATAAAAAGAAAGAAAGAAAAAAAATCTGAGATTTTTAATGGGCTTACTAGTGACTTATGGGCTCAAAATTAATTTTAAAATACCATAACATTATGGTAAGTTTAATTAAGGTGTGGATTTACGTCAACGATTAGTGACATTGTCTATCATTAAAAAGGGAAAAGTTTGTTAATAGTGGTTGGAATATTCTTCTATTTTGTGGCAAAAAACAGCTGGCGTATCACACTGGAAACATAATATTAACCCTGTTTTATACACATCAATTGTAAGAGTACATTAAACATTCCTTTTTACTGTTTATAATTGCTGTTTGGAGAACTAAATTTTACTAGAAAATGACGAGATGAATTCACGCAAATTGTACAATTTTTCTTCACTCATTAAAATGCAGGCAGTTGTTGATTGCAGTCGGACATGCAAAAGTGTGTAGTTCCACCTACTTATTTCTCGCCTCTCATAAACTCTAGTTATTTTCATTAATTACCCCCTAACATACTTTGATTTCTGCTCTTGTAAATGCCGTGTTTTAAATATAATATGTTTCTAATTCAGATCAACTCTTTTAAATTTTTCTCTCCTCCCTCCCATTCGTGACGTTAACGAAAGATTTTATTTATTTATTTATTTATTTATAATTTTATTCCCAAAAATATTATTTATAAACAGGAAAAGTTTCGTGAAGATTATCATATTATTATTTAAAAAATTATTTTTAGAAACATTTAAATTTTTTAATAAACTCGTGATGTCGTTTTAAATTATTTCCATGTCTTGTGTGACCTAACAAATGTTTTCAGTCAAGCTTATGTTTTTATATAAAGAAAAAAATAATAATAATGTATTAGATTTATTAAGACAGCTTCTTATTGGTTAGAAAAGTTGTTCTTTAACGATGGAAAGGGAAGGAGAACGTTTGTTTAAAATACTAATTTTAAATTTTATATTAATCGATGTTTCATTAAAAACGATACTATTAATTATTTATAATTATTACTCCGCTTAAGAAAGAAAAAAAAACCCATGAAAATGCATTGAGTTTGTTTATAATATGAAATTTGGCTTGTGCCTTTTTTTAATTATGTAAATTATTTATTCAATTTAGAGAATTTTTTAGATTATGATTTAAGTCTGTAGCAATATATATTTTTTTGTCGTATAGTTTTCTTACGGAAGAAGAAAAAAATAAGAGTTTTTCTTAAGATAAAACGAAAAAAAAAATTTATAAAAAAAATCAACGTTTTTCCCTCCATCTTATTTTCTTAGCTTCCTTTTTTTTTATCCGTTTGGAGCAACAAAAAATATTTTTAGAAAAGCCCAATCTTTTTTCTATCGACTGAGTAGACTACTGTATTAGCTTGGCAACCATTTAATTTATATTCACTTCATGTTCTTTCATTTATTCCGTTCGTTATTTGCCTAGAAAAGTCATTAATGTAAAAGATGCAATGTCGAACTTAACGTGGAGTTTTCCATTCATACGTCCTGACCTCTTACACGGGCTATTCGAACGAACTTTGACCCCCTATATGAAGATACGTACCAGATACAAATATTAACAGGAATCGTCACGCTTTTAATAAATAAATATATATAAAACACTATTATCAATATTGCATACTGATTTACTATTATTAACTTTTCATACCCCCGTGTAAAGAGGTTCTGTCCTGATTCTTACAACGACCGTAATGTGTGCCAGGTGGTCAAGAACTATACTCGTCTTTGCATATGTTTAGAATTGCATAAATCTCGTCCCTTAGATGAGTTTGTTTGCCTGTTAAATTATTTTCTCCTTAATTAATTATTAAAATATGTAATACGATCGAGTAGCCTTTTTATAATTTAAAAAAAAAAAGGGAAGAAAAAAAAATTTGTATAAAAGTTGTAACGGAATCAATTATCTCATTAAATAAGTTCTCCATTTTTACACGCATTAACTTAATTTCTGTTGAACACCGAAGTCACTCTTCTGTTTATAAAATAATTTATATTCAAGAAATAATTAGTCGAGATCATAAAAACTTGTCCTATTAACGAATTATCAAAGTATAGATGCAGTTGAAGCATAAAATGTGATTTGCCAAGTAAATTAGATGCTCGAATTTCTTTTTTTTTCATATATATTTTCTCGATTCAAAAAAGAAATTGAAGCAAGGGACTATCAAAAGATAATCTCTTATCTTCTGCTTATCTATTTGTCATTAATGTTATCTGGCGACATGGAGTGGGCGATTGTTATAGAAAAATCAATGCTCGATTGTCGTACAAATTGCATCAAATAAGTTTACTGTGTCCGTACGATGTTATAGTAAATTAGTTTTGCTAAATCATTTTTATGTATTCGTCAATATTCAGAGACTCTAACCGAATTTCTCGAATGTAGAGGTGTGAAGTATGTTTACAATATTTTACTTCATCTTATTGCCGTGTAAATTTTAAATTGGATTACACTCTCCTCAACTCCGTATGAAACGTTCGTACTTTTCTTTACATACTGGATTGTAATTACTTAAACATAAGACTTTCATCTTTATCAACTAAAGTCTGCTCTAATGAAATTTCTTTTTCCCCCTTTTTTTTCCTTCCTTTTTTCATTTCGCTCCTGTATCGTTCTTTCTCCCTCCCATCCCTTCTCTCTCTCTCTCTCTGTCTCTCTCCCTCTCCCTCTCTTCTCTCGCTCTCTCCTTACAATTTCTTTGGTCCAAATTTTCTGGATTAATGTTTGTGGAGAGGGCATAAACCTGTCTCTTTTCTATCAAACTTGGATTTAATCTGAACATTTGGGAGAATCTTCCTGGATGTTTCGTCAAATTTTTCAGTCTACGTCTTTACATTTCGTCCCCCACTAAAAGTCTTCTAAGGAAAAGAATTTATTTGTTGACTTTAAAAGTATATTTTGTTATCCATTGTTTCTCTCAGGAGCCCATTTGTGTTATTTTTATGGAAAATGTATGTTTAAGAAATCTTTTTCCTAGAAACGTGATGTGAAAAATCATTTTAGAAAATATTTTGATTGATGAAAAACTCCCGAATCGAATTGGATTTCTTCTTCTTCTTCTTCTTCTTCTTCTTTTCCCTTTTAGGTATAAATTGTTGTTAGATTTTATTTAATTATAAATGAAGTAAACGATTGTTTTTTTTATTTATTTATTTATTATTTTTTAAAAAAAATCCTTATTACTTTTTAATTTTAAGAGAATTTTTCACCGTATAAATCTGGCTAATATGCCCCAAGTAACCTTAAAGTTATCCATCAGATGCTCTTTCTCCTGGCTAAAACACCTGTTATTGTACATACCTATTCCGTACGTGATCTAGTGCTAATTTTGCCCATAAATGTTTCATGATTTTTGCCAACTAGACATTCCTCAATTTTTTTGCTCCTAATTGGTGATTGCTCTTTTCCGTGAGTGTGCATCGATGTGAAAACGTCAAATGAACGAAAAAGAAATCATTCTCGAGAACAACCTCTTAAAAAACACAAAGCTTTTAATAAGTTATGCTTGACTTGGAGGAATCATAAGCTCTCTCTCCCCTTAATTCTTTTAACTATATAAAAAGAATTCTGTTAAAAAATGCCATCTACAATATTTTAACACGAATCTAAGAAAATGACTTCTTTTTTTTTTTTTTTATTATTTCTTCGTCTCGAAGAAGCTTTGGTGTGTGTGGTGGTCCTCTAATCCTATTTTTAATTCTTAATAAACGGGAGTATTTTCTACCAAACCAACATTACAATAACGGTTATTAGTCTGAAAGTCATTAATCCCAAATGCGCATTGCTGTTACATGATTTGTATTTATTGGTAGAATTCAAGTGATTAGTCGGCAGTGGTTTGGAGAACTGTATTGATTTTCCAATAAAAATCCTGCTCCGATGACGAAAGCGGAACAGAGTGTGAAATTGTATAAAAACTAAATGTTTTGGCGCTATTTTTTTTTATTTCTTATTTTTTATTTCCTCGAGCTTTAGCGCTCGGAATAATTATCATTATTTATTATGTAGATAATTAATTATGGTCTAAATTTGTTTGTTAAGACCGGAGCCAAGCCGAGAATTCGATGACAAATCACCTAGCATTTCCCTCAGGCCAACTGCATCTTTGTATCCCGATCGAAGAGAATTTTGTTAAAGTATAATATTGAATACATGCATTTTCATGAGTTGAGGTTTTTTTTTTCTTCCCCCTTCTTCTTCTTCTTCTCTCTCTCTCTCTTTCTTCTCCTTTCTTCTCCGTCAGCTGGAAAAGGTGGCCACATAAGCGTAGAATACGGAAAATACAGTTACTATGCCATTCACTTCTAACTTTAATTTCTGTAGTTCTTACATTCCATTTAATTCAGTTTTCATCCGCGTTGAATGGATAAGGTTTATATCATAATGTAAAATTTCTACATTCTTTGAATATTCCTTAATGCTCTTTCAGTTTATTTCCCGTTTCGTTCTCTGTCTGTCTACATTTAATTCGTTTAGAATTAAGTGAGTATAGTTAAGGTTTTTTGCCGTAATTTAAAGATGGCAAAGGGTTAAATTTTAAAACAATGAAGTTTTTTCGAATCGAAAAAGGCGGTTAAAAACATTTCCATCCTTATTACTGATTCTATGAAATAAATCGTTGCATAATTGTCTCTTCCAGGAATATTCTAACCGATTCATTTGACCATAATTGTCTTCGTCTGGTATGTAGTTTTGTCACTTCAATCGGACGAATATTAATTATTTTTATTACTTTTTCTCTCTCTCATTTTTTTAAGAAAAAAAAATCCATTCCTTAATCACAATTATTAATGATAATTTTATTAAAATTTAATTATATTTTATGAACCACATATATATATTTTTTAAATCCAGCAATACGGAAGTAATCATATATATCTCGTAAGCTTATCCTCTATTAAAACGGGACGACGATAGACGAATGATTGAATGACCATAACAATGAACTGATCAAATTTAGTGTGCATCCTGTAATTACCATTGGCTGCACTTAACTTTA